TTATCTATGAGGAATAATCCAAGATCCAAGACAAAAGGCAGAATTGAGAAGCGAAAAGCCCATGCTATTGAGCTTGCAGATAATTTGCAGACTTGAAAAGCCCCATCCAACCAAGTGCGGGAGCTGGATCACACAGCTGTCAAGAGCAGCTGCACAGGCACCAGACAGCCTGGGGCAATTCCCAGGCCCACAGTATTCTACCTTTGCAAGATCTTTCTGCGTGGATTTCTGTTTCCACAGGAAGAGCCTGGCCCCCAGCAAGCATGATGCAACGGGAGCCACTAGCAAAGAGCAGAGAACTAGCTGTTGATGGACATTAATAACGAGGTCTGCTGTGGACTATTAGTCTATTTGAAAAACTGCTTAAAACCAGCATGCCTGGGACCACAAAGCAAAACATACGCTCAGTCCCTGCTCTACCTGAAATGTCACAGGAGACATATCAATGTTTGGTGTGGGAGAATTGTCTCTATTCTGTCAATCATATTTTAAATAAACGCTGATTGGCCAGGCAGGAAGTATAGGTGGGTCAACCAGATAGGAAGTAGAGGCAGGGCGATGAGAACAGAAGAATTCTGGGCAGGAGGAAGCCCATTCCTCCCACTCCTGCCCAGATCACCAAAGAAGCAGGATGTAACCTGCCCCGCTGAAAAAGGTACTGAGCCACATGGCTAACATAGATAAGAATAATGGGTTCATATAAGCTATAAGAGCTAATACAAAGCCTGAGCTAATGGGCCAGTCAGTTTATAATCTTATGGAGATCTCTGTGTGATTTTCTCTGGGACTAAACAGCTGGGGGACTGGGTGGGAAAGAAACCCCAACAAGCCATCCCACATGTTACAAATGTTGAACCAAAACCCTACTCCCACCCCCACAACAAGACCTTCTTTCTACCGCAGGGAGCACACTGTTGCTACTCGTGGTGAGGGTTTTTTCTTTTTAACTTTGTTTCTATTTCTTTGTAGGCAAAGCTGTGGAATATTTCCTTTACACTGTATGAATATATGTCACTGTGACTGGGTTAATAAAGAAGCTGACTGGCTGATATCTGGGTAGGCAGGACTTGCAGGCAAAAAAAAAGCAGAAAGCATGAAGAATGGAAGGAGTCAGACATTCACAAGGAGATAGAGAGATGAACTTGTCCAGTACTGGAAAAAGGTACCAAGCCACATGGCAGAGTGTGAATAAGAAATATGGGTTACAGCTAAGATTCTCAGCAATAGTGGAGAGGGTGCCTGAACTGACCTTCCCCTGTAATCAGATTCGTGACTACCCTAATTGCCATCACAGAACCTTCATCCAGCAACTGACAGAAGCAGAGGCAGAGATCCACAGCCAAGCACCGGACTGAGTTCTGGGAATCCAATCAAAGAGAGGGAGAATATATGAATGGGGGCTGGGTGTCATGAGAGGGAAATCTACAGAGACAGCTGAACCAAACTGTTGGGAACTCATGGAAACTCATGAACTCTAGACTGACAGTTGTGGAGCCTGCATGGGACTGAACTAGGCCCTCTACATGTGGGTGACAGTTGTGTAATCTAGTCTGTTTGAGGGGCCCCTGACAATGGGACCAGGACCTATGAGCTGGATTTTTGGAGCCCATTCCCTATGGTTGGATGCCTTGCTCAACCCTGATGTAGGGAGGAAGGGTTTGGTCCTGCCTCAATGTGCCAGGCTTTGTTGATTACCCATGAGAGGCGTTAGCCTTTCTGAAAAGTGGATGAAAGGTGGGTTGAGGGAAGGCATGATGTGAGGGTGGAGCAGGACGAGAGCTGGGAGGGGAAACTATGATTGAAGGAAAAAGCAATAAAAAATTAAAAAATAAATATGAGTTTATTTAAAATATAAGAGTAAGCTAGTAATAAGCCTAAGCTATTGGCCAAGCATTTATAATTAATAATAAATTTCTGTGTGGTTGTTAGGGAACTGGCTAGCAGGAAAGAAAAGTCCACCTACTCAGGGACTCATTTAGGCCAGGCTGGCCTTCAGCTCACTATGTACCTTGAATTTATGATCCTCCTGCCTCCACCTCCTCCACCTCCTCCACCTCCAGAACACGGTCCAGCAATGGAGTTGTGTGAGGAGGATTCTGAGTGCTTGTGAGAAAACTCCAAGAAAACAAGACAAGAATCTCATAACCTCAGCTTCTTTAAAACACAGAATTGTTCTTGGAATGTTTTCCTCTTCCTCCCAGGCTTCGCGGGTGGGAGTGAGTTGACTTCAGATTACTCATTGTTGTTGGCTGTTGTTATTCAACTAAGTGTTTGAATGATCCTTTATATGCCTCTATGCAAAAACGTGTTTTTGCCATGTGCAGTTTGTCCTTGTGATTGTACACAGCTTGAATTCATGAGAACTTTACTCTTGTGATTTCTCTTAACCCTCAGAGTATAAATTGTCCGATGCTCTGAATAAAGGTGGCTGTTACATGAGACTTTAGTTTGCCTCACCGGCTCCATTCTCCCAGGTCGAGAACAATGACACTTAGTGATGGCATTACAGCCCTGCTCCACCACCATCAGTCTACATAGGACTTCGTGCATGCTAGCCAAAGTCATGGGATTACAGCCCTGCTCTGCCACCATCAGTCTACACAGGACTCCGTGCATGCTAGCCAACACTCTACCAATTCAACACCCCAAACCCTTTAGGATTCTTTCTTCCAGACTACCAGGCCCTGGTTCTACACTACAGGGAAGTGTTTTCTAAGTCATCTAGACCAAAGGTCACAAACCCAAATACCAGGAGCACTAAATAGGTCACAAGTCATAGAGATTGGTGTCAGCTGGGAATCATGTCCTTCCTTGTACTAGAGGACTGCCAGTAATCTCTAGCTGCCATTAAGGGGATAGGGATTATATATATTATGGATGAACCAAGAAAACACACTCAGCCTAATGTGTCCTGAGTGAGGCCACATACCTCAGTCAGACAGAGCAAGGGTTCCCACCTGCCAGCCTGGCTGATAACAGCAACTGGATCTGATGTGGAAGCACAGAAAGGGCTACAAGCTCTTGTTTGTGAGATGAATAAATATTGTACTCTGGTCAACCTGAGCTACTTCTTCATCAGTGGTCAAGGACAGCATGATAGCAGCAAAACTCAGTTTTATTTCCAGACACTGTTCATCTGAAGAGTTTACATCCCCTCAAATAAGGAGATTCTAAATGCACAATAATGGCCATAAATGCACACAGATTTTACCATCGTTAGGACACGATTGAAAGTACCCCAGCTGAAGCCCTCTGAAGACTGTGGCTCCGTGATCTGCCTGCAGTTTCACAGCTCTGCAGGACCAGGTGAGTCCCCGTGTGTCCCCAGTGAGGATCCCCCATGTCCTGGAGGATTTGTAGCCATTGTCTTGAAATGCTGGGTAAGGACAACCTGAGAAGGTGAGTTCTGTGTATCCCACCCTCTTTGCCTCTTCTGGGCTCTCTAGGCAAAGCATCTACTCCCTCCCAGCCCCCTTCCCAGCACACTGCCCTCTCTCCATCCAGATACCTCTGAGGATACACTGCCCCTCACGCCCTCCTTCCCTCCTTTGCCCACTCCCACCAGCAGCTGGCTCCACATGACCAACAAGGAACTCATTTTCCATGCCTGCTCTTAAATTACCATACTAGTTAAGGATAGCTGACCTAACTGGGGAGCATAGACCCAGCATGGAACACGGTATGAGCACCACAGTGTACAAGGGAACATGGGGTACTCAGAAGAGACAGTGAGGGTGGGGAAGTGGGTCTGAGTTTCACTCAGGACATTTGTGGGCATAGGCGTGAGGCATGCTAAATCAATACATCTATATAGACTGTGCACTGGCAAGGGCACCATTCAGAGAAGCATGTTGCCAGCAATGCCCGCTGAAGCTGTGTGATGGTGAAGCCTTGGAGGAGACAGCAGCCCAGTGTGCACATGGAGATCCATCAAACCCATCTTTCAGTTAGTCTACCTATTGGCAGCAAGCAGCCAACTGACTTTCCCTAGCTGAGCATTCTGAAAAAGCACTCAACAACTCTCCACCAGCAAGAATTTAACAGAAACTCTTAATCCTCGGATCTGGGAGAGGCTGAGAAACCCATGTGCTGTGTTTTAACAAAAGAGAATGTATAGCAAGCATTGTGGAAGCTGAGGCAGGAAGGGCAAGGGTTCAAGGCCAGCCTGGGAATCTGCCCTAGAGCTGTACTATTTTCTCCCAGTTGAAAAATTCTCTTCAGAGATCACACACTCAGGAAGTTCAGGAAACTTAAAGGACTCAGGAAGGTTTGAGACTTATAAGACCCTCCCTAAGGTTCCATAAGCAATGAACAATTCTGAGGGAAATGAAACTCTTCGGAAGAGCTGTCTGCAAATAGGACAGAGTTATAGGGATGCTGCTTCCCTGAGTCATTGCTCATGCTGGGGTTGGCTGCCGCTGGGGAACCTACACTCCTGTCAGTCATCCCTCACAATGCTGGCCTACACAGGGAGACTCTTTCTAGAAGGAAGAAAAGGGAGCAGGAAGGGGGTGGGGAGGAGGAGATGGAAACACGGCAGAAGGGAGACAAGGAGACCTAGTAAGAGCATCTGGAGCATAAGATAAACACTGAGAGGTCCAGACTAGATAAGGAGAAGGCAGTTTTTAAGCTTCATGCCTCCAACCCCAGCTCTGCCTTAAGAAAATTATGAGTGAGGGCACACATGTCACCCACGCGAGACCCAAGCCAGTGGTAACTGACACTGTTGTCTTTTCCTTACCTTTTTTTTTTAATAGAACACAGGAACAAGACCCCACTCACAGTTCACTGAACTGACAACAGCCTTTTGCCAACACAGTAAACTCCCACTGCTGATCAAAGTCCACCCACATACATGGCAACATGGCACACGGGGACACATACATGTTAACATGGCATATGGGAACACATACATGGTAACATGGCACACAGGGACACATACATGTTAACATGGCACACGGGAACACATACATGGTAACATGGCACACGGGGACACATACCTTGTGTTCCTCCTTCATCACCTGCTCAATGAGCTCAGACTTCACTGGAGGCTTTGAGTACTGGCCAGAGAGGAGGCCGTGCCCCAATTTAGTCCTAGCCAGGAGAGAGACAAACAATGAAGAGGCCACTGCTGTTTCCCACAGAGATGGAAAGGTCACCCATGAGTCCCTGTGTGGCAGGGACCTGCTCTCTGTCCGGACTCCTCACAGACAGCTTGGCTTTTGCCTCTGCTTGGCTCTGACCCCACTCTCCAAGTTTCCTCAGTAATTTTAACTTTACTGATCTCTTCTATAAAGGTAACACACACCCATTCTAGAACACTTAAAAATACAGGAAATAAAGAAGAAAAAGGAATTGCCTTCACCTCAGCAGCAACCAATGTGAATACCCCGCCAGAAACTTAAAACACAACACTGGGCACTTACATCTGTGTGTTGAAGTCCTGTGTTGGATCTAACGGTGAGTAGTCGAATATCCTTGGGAGGTTTCCCACATACCTAGGAGACAACAGGACAGTCACCAGGGAAATGGGACAACAGAAGCAAACTATCACTCTACAGACACAAAGCCAAGCAAATGTTCCTCCCTCCACAGCAGACCAAATCCATGCCTGGTTTCCTATCCCTAAAGGCTCTGTGAAGTGGCACCATTCAGATGTTGGGGTTCAAGCTGAAGATTAGAAAAGCAAAGCAGTCACAGCCCACTAGAGAATTCTTACCGCTACCAAGACTCAGACAAACCAAGGGGCCATCCTGTCCTCAGAGGGACTGCACTGCAATGCTCTCCACCAAACCTCAGACAGCACCGCTCTTGTCTTCTTGCGCCTTCTATACGTCTCTCCACCCAGCCACCTCACTCCTGTCTCCACCTCCCTAGTGCTGGGATTAAAGGTGTGAGACTCCCAAGTGCTGGGAACATCTTTGTGTGAGTTCTGTTTCTCTTTTTAGAGAGATTCAATCTCGTGTAGACGAGGGTGGCCTTGAGTTCTGGGATTAAAGGTGTGTGCCACCGCTCCCTGGCTTCTAGTGGCTTAGCTCTGCACTCTGATCTTCAGGCAAGCTTTATTTCTTAAAACATAAGCAAAATATCTCTACAGGCATTTCGCAAGCACTTCAAAAAGGAATCTTGGAGTATACATCAGGTAAGGCAAACTTAGATTAACCCATACTCAAGAGATGACAAAAGACAGAAACTTGGGTAAGAATATATATGTGTGTGTGTGTGTGTGTGTGTGTGTGTGTGTGTGTGTGTGTATACATATATATATATATATATATATATATATTTTTTTTTAAAAAAGCATCCATGGTACCTGCCTCTGAAAAAGTTCCCCAAGCTAGAACTTCAAACTTTCTGCCCCTCTCTCCCATCCCCCGACTCATCTGTCAGTGAGGTGTGTATCCCCTCTGACCTTCTTCCCTTCCTCTTCACGGGACAGAACACCTTCATAACTGTGTTCTTATGTTTATCTACCGAATGTCTGTCTTTGTGTGTTCCCTCAGGCCAGATACCACACCCAAGTTTACTCTCGAGTCTTTCTCTTTCTCTCTCTCTCTCTCTCTCTCTCTCTCTCTCTCTCTCTCTCTCTCTCTCTCTCTCTCTCTCATACACACACACTCCAAAACATACAATAGCTAGTTCTTTACTGAAGAGTGGAAAGGTACATGCGGTAAACTGACAATATATTTTCAAAGCCAGAAAACAGTTCTAAGAGGAAAGACTCTCCAACCTGAGGAACACTTAGTGAAGCACTGTGTAACCACTAGGGCTTCAGCTCCAAGTGGGAAAGACACCACCTAGTGCTGCTCCCAGCATGTTCTCTGCTGGTCAGTCTATCTCGACATGAATGGCCTCTTCCATACTTAACCCACTATGGAAACCTAGGCTTCTTGTCCTGAGCACAACCCAGTGCAGAAAACGCCTACAGACACAGCAACTTGTGTGGGGAGGCACAGGGGAAATAGGCCAGCTTGGACCTGCAGAATTAGGAAGTACCCTAATTTGGGATGCCCAGAATGTCTGCCTGAAGAGCCAAAGTTTCCAACTCAGGGAAGATGATAGCTATCATAAAAATAATTAACGGAACATATGAAATGCCACATATTAAATGTGGTGCTATCAAATCACGACACCAGTCTCTAGGAGCTTGATTGAGTCCCACCCTTTTCTTATGGCAGACCCACACCTAGCAGCCCAGGATTCCCGGGAATCACACTCCCAGTAACAAAAAAATAATAACCTAAAAGTCTCCACAAATTCTCCTCTGGAGAACAGGGGTCACTAACCATTCAATGGCCCACCTAGAGAAAGGATCTGGCAGGTGTCCTATGGCACAGGTAGGTCTGAGAGCCACGATGACTGATTGGGAGGTGTTGCTCAGTCTCTAAGCATTCCTTATCTCACCCCATCCTGTGATACTGGAGGAGAGCTCTCATGGGGCCTCAGGATGAGAAGACACACTCCCACCGCGATACAGCAGAATCCCCGGGGCAAGAGCAATGGGTTTCCTAGCACACAGAACGGACCAGCTCAGAGAGACTGGCAGCACAGTGGCCCATCAGCAGCAGGGCACACTTACGCTCTCTGGAACTCTGGGATGCTGAAGATGGCCTGCATAACAGAACTGAGGTAGCAACTGTTGCCCAGGTTCTTCAGGCCCGTGTACCCTGGTCCATACATGGGCTTCAGCTTAGTCCCTGACTCTTGGATCACTTCCCATTCGCTGACTCTTGGCTTGATGTCATTGTCCCGGAGTCCATTCTCTGTCTGGGACATCAGGAAAGAGAGAGAAAAGTAAAGGGCTTCAAATGGGTTCACAATCAAAACTTAATCCATGAATTATTTCCAATGCAATGGTTATTTCCGCCATTTTCTTCTAATTATATGGGAGAAGTAAACAATCTACTTAAAAATATTAAGAGGTAATGATTACATGTGGGGGCCCATAGATGTGCATCCATTCCACCTTGACTAAAGGTCAGCAGAGTTTAAGCCCAGTCTTGCTCCTTCAAGGTTATTGACGGGAGAGTTAACTTAAAGTGTGGCTACCAACATTAGGGTATCGTGACCTAGGGTGTGGTTACTTGGTGTTTTGGGTATTAAGATGGTAATCAGTTTGTTCATTCCTTGTATCACGATTTAAAAAACAAAAAAAAAAGGCTTTTGCTTTCTTCCCCATTTTTGGAGTGGGATGTTTAAAGATCCATTTCTTATTTATTAAGAAATAAACACGGGTGGATTCAGCATTCACTGGGTTGCCCTCCCGGTACAATCCTGTGCCTCTGTGTTTCTTTTATTTCTCTGTTTTCTCTGACTATCATTTCTAACCCACACACATGCCCCTACCCTGGAACGTATAAACCTGTTGAGGCTGGACCCCAACGGATGTCACCCCAATGGGTGGCTACTACAGATGGCGCCCAGACGTGTGGCCCAGATGTGTATAAGGGAGAGCGTGTTGGACACCACAGGTGTAGAAATAGAAGATGAGCGTTCAAATAAGTAACTAAGATAAAAAGGCAATGGTATCTATCAGGAGTAAAACTGTATATAAAGAGCTATGGAACAAGGAAATAGTATTCTGCTGTCTGTACATTGCCTTGGGTATATTTTGAAAGCTTGGAGAACTGGGATAGAGCAGAAACAAGGACAGAAATCTGAAGAATCCATAGATTTTGTAAATCTTCCTCCCCTACAATAGTGGTGCAGTTGCCACCGTTTTCAGGCCATTCTTGGGTTCGGGAAAGTAAATGGTGCGCCCACACTGCAGCTGACTTTGCAAGCAGCCGCTGCCACCGCTAGCCCAGAAGACACCTGTGGGCCAAGATCCCCAGTTCCTGGCAAGATGGCCAAGCTGAGAACGCAGCTAGCTGTGAACCACAGCCTCAGAGAATCGAGCATCTGAGAATGCTAATGCGATAGGTAAAGCTGCCTTTTAGAAAGAAAGATGACATCTCTGATTATACTCAGATTTGTTCAGATACTGGTCCTTCGTATATTCAGGGACTGGTTATACACACTTCTTTACAGAAAAGGGCAGTGGAAGACGTTTGTAAATCTCTCCGGACACAGCAATCAAGGCCCAGAGAGAGGGATTCAAGGTCTCCAGGAAGCTGCTTCAGGTGTGGTCTTCCAGGACTTCAAATAAAGCAGTATCCTGATAGGAGAGTAAGCCCAGGGGTGAGGAAGGAACTGGGATTATGCTGAAGATGCAGGACAAAAAAAGTCAGACTAACAAATGCAGATCTAAGAAAGAAGTCCAAGGGAATCCCCTACCAGGAAGTGAGCAGAAGGGCCTGCCTCCGGCCCCGAGACAAATCTATGGGGTGATCCAGCAGTCTGTTCTCCTGCAAAGAAATCCATTCCGAACGTCTGCAGACCAACCCCAGGCAGTGCAGGGCTCAATATCAGCTCTTCCATTTATACCATTTTAACTCCTGCAATGGGGATGCAAGCTCTCCACTGGGGCTTATGGAACTTTACCAGAAGGCACTGTAGGATTGTTATTGGGGAGAAGCAACACCACTATGCAAGGGTTCCTTGTTGCTCCTGGAGTCATTAACGCTGATTTTGAAGGAGAAATCAAAGTTATGACTCACTCACCTAATGGAATTTCTGTGGTAAACAAAGGCAAGAGACTTGAACAATTAATTTCACTTCCTAAATGAAAACTAGAAATTGAGTTAAGGGAAGTAAGAGAAGAGATTTTGGATTTGGTTCATCTGGTGCCTACTGGCTACAAGCCATAGGTCCACAGCAACCAGAACTCACTTGGTTTATAAATGAAAAAAGCTTCTCTGGTCTTCTGGATACTGATGTAGATATTTCTGTTACAACTGCCAGTCAATGGCCTTCAAGGTGGCCTAAAACAGCGACTATTGCACAGTTACAAGGGATTGGTCGAACTCAAAATCCTGAACAAAGTAGCAATGAGCTTTTCTGGAGAGATGGAGCGGGTCATGAAGGAACTTTCCGGCCACACATTGTTCCTCACTTACTGCAAATTTGTGGGGCCGAGACATTATGACATGAATGGGGGTATATTTATATTCCCCAAACACAGTTTTGCTAGTCAAATATTCCAGAAAAGGTTATTGCTCAATCAAGGGCAGGGCAAGGACTGAGCCTATCACACCTAGCAGACAGCCTCCCAGGGCAGGATTAGGGTATTTTAGAAGAGGTCACTGAAAAGCCTGCACTCCATGCAGACCCAATTGTCTGGAAAAGTGATGAGCCTATATGGGTAAATCAGCGGCCTCTAACAGAAGAGAAATTACAAGCTGCCCAGTGGAACAGCTGGATAATAGTCACATTATGCCCCCCCTGGGATTCTCCTACTTTTGTAATTAAAGTGAAATCAGGAAAATGCAGGTTGATACATTAAGATTTAAGAGAGGTTAATGAGACCATGAAGCCAATGGGAGCTTTACAGCCTGGGCTGCCTTCTCCTACAGCTATACCAAAAGACACTTATAAGATTATTTTAGGTTTAAAGTATTGTTTTTATACCATCATTCTGGTACCAGAAGATTGTCCAAGATTTGCATTTTGTATTCTATCAGTTAATTTCAAAGAGCCAATGAGAAGATATCATTGGAGCATCTTGCCTCAGGGTATGGCAAACAGTGCTACGCTATGCCAGAAAATGTGACTCAGCCTATACAAAATGTCAGAGATCAACTTCCACAAGTTTATATCATCCAATATGTGGATGATATCCTGCTTGCCCATAAAGACAAAGGAGTCTTGCTTGAGACACATAGACAACTTCAGCAGAACCTTTCCCACCCAGTTATTGTCCCAGAGAAAGTGCAAAGGCACCCGCCTTTCCAGTATAGGTCATATGTTATACCATGAAGAAATTAAACATCAGAAATTGGAAGTTAGGAAGGATAGCTTATAGACTCTGAATGATTTCCAAAGATATTTAGAAAATATTCAGTGGCTGAGACCTTATTTAAAATTCCCTATGGGAGATCTTGAACCACTAAGTAAAATTCTTAAGGGGAGCAGTGTGACCCTAATTCCACCAGATACATTACAGATGCTGCTAGACAGGTACTGGAGCAGGTGGAATATGCAATACAGACACAGCAGGTCCATTATATTAATTATGAACAACCTTGGCAAGCATATATACTATCTGCAAAACTTACTCCCACAGCAGTATTATGGCAAAAACGGTCCTCTTTTATGGATACACCTTCCCGTTTCACCAGTCACGGTATTAAACCCTTATTTTGAAACAGTATCTTGTTTAGTACAGAAAAGCCAGAAGGAATATAGATGATATTTTGGTAGGAAACCTAATGTGATCAATGCTCCTTACACTAAGCAACAGATTGATTAGCTATTTCAAAATAATGCTTCTTGGGCAATTGCATTTGCTCAATTTGTAGGCTAAATTGATAATCTTTTCCCAGCTGACTGATTGCTGCAATTCACATAACTACATTCCTTTATTTTCAAAAAAAATTGCAATGAAAGATCCCTTAAAGCATGCTATGTTAATTTTAAAGATGGGTCTTCCATGGAAGAGCAGCGTATATTGTTGACGGTAAAGGATATGTAGTGCAAACGGATCCAGCCTCTGCTCATAGTCGAACTGTGAGATGTTGCTGTAGTATTACTGTTTTTTGCAGATAAGGCATTGAACTTTTATACTGACAGTCGGTACATTTTTAAAGCTCATCAAGTAATAGAAACAGTTTCAGGGATTAGGACTAGTAATAATCAGGCTAAGATGCTATTTCAGCAATTTCAAGACACAGTTCATCAAAGAAAATTGCCATGCTTTGTGGGACATGTAAGAGCACATTCAAATCTTCCTGGTCCATTGTCTGAGGTAATGCTTTAGCTGAGAAACCTACTCAGTTTATCTCAGTTTATCTCAGGTTGAACTTGCTCAGCAATCATATGCTTTACATCATCAAAATAGTAAGTTTAAGAAAACAATTTGGATTAACAAGAGAAATTGCTCATCAGATTGTTAATATGATATATGCCAACAATATTTACCTATGCCTTATCTGGGAGTAAATCCTAGAGGCTTGCTTCCTAATCATTTATGGCAAATGGATACTACTCATATTGAAGAATTTGGCAAATTAAGATAAGTGAATGTGATAATTGATACACATTCAGGTTTCTTAATGGCCCCACTGCAGAGACTGAAGAAGCCACTAAGCATGTAATAACTCATTGCTTAAAGTGTTTTTCACATATGGGAATTCTTAAGGCTATAAAGACAGATAATGGGTCCAGGTATTTTAGTAAAGCATTTCAGCAATTTTGTTCCCAATGGGATTTTGAACACAAAACAGGTATTCCTTATAATCCTCAAGGACAAGGAATTGTGGAGCATGCCCATGACTTCTTGAAAACACTTCTAAAGATAAAAACAGGCAAATTATACCCTTAGTCACCACATAATGCCATAAACCATGACTTTTTACTCTAAACTTCTTGAATGTGGATACACATGAGCAATCTACTGCAGATAGATTTTGCCATGATGGCACTAGAATGACTTTCACTAAAACAAAATGGAAAGACCCTTGCAGTGGATTATGGAAAGGTCCTGACCCTGTTATTGGGTGAAAGGCATGTCTGTGCTTTTTTCACAGGAGGAGAATAAGACATGATGGTTTTCTGAATATCTGGTCCAGTGTGTGCAATAGAAGGATGCCAGTCCTAATGACAGCGTAGCCACTGGTGCTCCCACAGAAGAGTCTGAGTGAGACTGCTTAGCCTGCCTTCCTGATCTTCTAATGTCACGCTGCAGTCTGAGAAAGGAAGGGAGATAGTGGTGTTGGCTGGCAATTCCTAGCTTCTTGGGGGGATCTACTGCACAAACTTCCAGACCTTAATGAATCCTATTTATTTTGTAGACAGCCCAAGAATGTTTATTGAATATTTGGCAGTTTATCCGTACTATATCTTGGGACACACAACTCATTTTGCCAGTATGGTGCTCAATCTGTTGTTGAAATAAAGAACCTAAAAACTAAGACCTCAGAAAGTTTCCCCTCTGGCGGAAAGAGACTTGTTAAAGCAATGGAACACTATCATGGAGGCAAAGAGTGACTGAAGCCCCTCTTCAGAGATGAGGAGGGATGACATAAAAGTTTTTGCTGCTACGCAAAGACTGGGATAGTTTCAACTTTCTCTGAAAGTTAAAAGCAGCAATTGGACAATAGACAAGGAAAAAGATTCATAAATTCATATCTTACCCACCATAGCAACATTTCCTTGTCTTTTTTAATTAGAACAGATTTAAGAGAATTGTGATTTAACAAATTGTACACTTATTGCTAATTTTCATACTAGAATTATGGTGTTGACATGTTAATGTTTGTTAACTACTTTGGTTTACTACAGAGATGTTAATGATTAGAAAAAGGTTTGAGCTTGTCTGAGGAAAAAAATCAGACATAAGGACAACAAGTCGTTAGATTAGGTATGTTCATAAGGACAAATTTAAATTTTGATGCAGCTAAAAACTGTTAAAGACATCCTAGACCAATTTCAAAAGCCATCCCATCTTGGTCATTCTCCACTCTTTTATCAGGAGATGTTGTAGCCATAGGAACATGTGTATCCCAAAGCATTATCTGCTTGCATATGGTTATCCAGTTATCTGTGAACTCTCTCAATGGAAAGTTGGCTCAGAGGTGCACAGCACTTAGCTGTGCACCCTCCCTTAACTGTTTATTTACACATGTTGGTAGTCAATGATGGGTAAGATTTTTTTTCCCTTTAGGAAAGCTAAGACAAAACACACATGATGGAATAGATATACTGATAACAGGTAAGTCTGGAGAGTGGAAGAAGTCTTCCTAAGCCAGGCACAGTCATCTGTCCTGTAGCAGAACACATGGGCTTTACTGAATAAATTAAAGAGGGAGGAATATGTGGGGGTTTACAGAAGTAGATCCATTCTACCTTGACTAAGGGTCAGAGAGTTCAGGCCTATTCTGGTTCCTTCAAGGTTACTGACAGATTTAACCTAAGGTATGACTGCTAACAAAAATATTTTGACCTAGGGTGTGGTTATTTGGTGTTTGGAGTATTAAGATGGCAATCACTTTGTTTGTCCTTGTATCATGATAAAAAAAAAAGTCTTTTGCTTTCTTCCCTGTTTTTGGATTGGAGTATTTAGATCATAAGAAATAAACACAGGTAAATTCAGTATTCCCTGGGTTGCCTGCCTAGTATTATCCTTTGTCTCTGTATTTCTTTTGTATCTCTGTTTATTCTGCCTAACATTTATAACCCACATGCCCCTCCTTGCAACGTATGAACCCATCAAGGCTGGACCCCGACAGCTGTCTCCTCAACATGTGGCTATGACAACTACATAAGAATGTAAATGTACTTAATGTCACAAAACAGTACACTTAAAATTATCTAAAAGGATAATTTTATATACATTTTACCACAATTTTTTGAAACATGAAAAAGTTTTGAGTTTCTTGTTTTAGTTTGTTTTGGTTTGGTTTGATTTGTTTTGTTTTGTTTGTTCCTGAAAGAGAAAGAACAAGGAGGAAAGAGACAAGAGGCATATGAAAAAGAGAAGTCAACACATGATGAATGCAACTCGAACATTGCACAGCATGAATGAAGTCCTGGGTTCTATCCCCAGCACTGTGGCAGAATATTATTTTAAGATGTGTTACATATGTATGCTGTGGAACACTTGTTTAATGATGCAAAACGTGTTACATTCTTTCATATTGCATTTGTTTAACTCTGTGAAGTTGTGTTACTTTGTCTATCTGAGACACTATATTGGTCTAAGAAAGAGCTGAATAGCCAATAGAAAGGTAGGAGAAAGAGTAGGCAGTTCTGGCAGGCAGAGAGAATAAACAGGAGGAGAAGTCTGAGGGGATGAAAGAGCAAGAAAAGAAGAGGCCAGCCACCCAGTAACACAGCCAGACAAACAGTAAGAAGTAAAGAAAATATATACAAAAATAGAGAGAGATAAAAATCCCAGAGGCAAAAAAATAAACAGAATCATTTAAGTTAAGAAAATTTGGCTAGAAATAAGCCAAGCTAAGGCTGAGTATTCTTAAGAAAGAAAAAGACTCCATGCAAGTATTTATTTGGTAGCTGGGTGGCAGGCCTCCCAAAAAAAGCCAAAAGAGTAAAGAATAAATAAAACAACCAACTACACAGCACCACATAGCCTGGGCTTGGTGCACACTTGTAATCCCAGAACTCACGAGGTGAGGTAGGAAGATCAGAAGTTCAAGGACATTTTCAGCTATATAGCCCAGGCTACAGGAGGTGCTCACGTAAACTAAAAGCAAACAAACAAACAAAACCCAGGTAGCAAGATAAGGGAACAACACAGGGCCTACAGCAAGCAAGAAGGCAAGAAAGGGAGAGAGGAAGGTGAAAGGAACCCAGTGAGGCTTCGGAGCACCTGAGAGAGGAAGGAAATAAAAGGATGAATAAGTGAAAAGATGGGTATGAAAGAGAAAGAGCTGAATATCATGGGAGCATACAGACAGAGCAGTGGCCTGGGAGAGAGAGAACACAGTCTCACACTGAAACATGCCTCACAGGCAAACTAACCCATCACCACGTTGAATCTATCAGCGAAGCAAAGCTTCAACCATTTCACTCCAGCCACTACCCAGCAGCCCTCATTCCCTTTGGGAAAATAATTAAAGTGATGTAAGTCACGTATTATTCTGAAGATCATCATCTAGTACTTTCTCCCTTTAGTAAAATATAAGAGGAATTAATGCATCTAAAATAAAATTTTTGTGAGTAAACCCCAAATACTCCAAAACTTGATAAACAAAATTCTAAGTTGGTAACCCAAATAAAATGCTAATAAACTAAATTTAGCAAACTAATGCAAGAAATAAAACTAAATCTACGAAGATGCACATTAGTAGAATTCTATAGTAAATAAATTAAAGATACCCCCCCCCACCGCACCCACCAGAGACACAGCATAGAATTAGAGACAAAAGATGTTCTCACCCCATTCGTATGAAGCATGTCAATCCCGAAGTGTGCTAAGTGTTTGGCCAAATGAGGATCCAAAACAGGCCCCTCTTCTTGAAAAGAATAAACATCTGGAGGGCAAAGAGAAAACAGAACTCAGGTCTGTACATGACGTCCATGCAACACTACAGCAGGGCTGGGTGTACCGAAGAGCAGACCACAAGAAATAGACATAATACATACACATATCTTACAAACACAATCATTTCCTGAGAAGTCTCAGAGACTTAAGGAAAAAAGCAAAGTTGAGGTAAAAAAAAAAAAAAACATCTGAAGGTAAGATAACATAAAATGAGATGAATATGAATACCTCACCTTTGGTCTTTGTAACTAATACCCATAAGGGCATAATTCTAAGGTTGGGAAGCAGAGAGAAAGGGGGTGGGGGAGAGAGTGACAGCCATCTGCCAGGGCAGAAGATCCATGGAGTAGACGGGGTATAAAGGCCCCGAGGTGCAGCTGGAGGGTGAGAAATGGTCATACACTCTATGTTTTGGACCCTGTGCCTCTGCTCCTCTGCCATAGTAGTGTCTGTTATCTCCAGAACTAGGGAGAGATGGAAGCAAGAATGCAGGCCATGCAGCTTCCCAAGACGCACTCACCCAGCAGCCCACATGCTCACCCTGTGACTCACACCAGAACTGAGGTGGGCAACATGATCAACCCATCACCTCTGACACTACCGAAGTGAAGGACGTGTTCACTCATGGTGTGTGCTCCAGACCAAAGAGATGCGCTCACTCTGAGGCCACACTGGATCTGGGAATGGGCACCTGCTGATCCAAAGGTCCCACGCCTGTACTGAGGAGGCACGTGACTGAGGAAGTCTCAAATACTATTTCCCTGTGGCACCCTGGTACTGGAAGGCAGTGTCTGGCCTCGGGATATTAATATCCCATTATGTCAATTAACATAATTAACATTAACATAATGCTTTGGGTGAAGCCACATTAAATGCACAGGCCCTGGGTCAGGAGTCTGGGAATGAAGACTCTGGGCCCCACCCCAGACTTACCCAGCCAGATTTCATGTTATCAATAAGAGCCCAGAGACACAAAGTTTCAGAAGTAGTGTAGAGCCCTATGTGTCCTGAGAGAACGATGCAAGGAAGGAGAGAGATGACCATTTCCTGTTTCTCATGGAGAGCCTAAAGAAGGCTAAAGAATTTTGCCCTCACACGTCACATGTGCCTAGTATCTCCCTCCTGTCCCACCCCTCTTCTATCTCAGTATATTCAAGGTATCTCAGGATATGGATGGTGAAATGTAATCCAGGCACATTTTAGGAACAAAGATCACAAACCACAGTGTCTTTCCTCCTAAATTTGGAAAATATAACATTATAAGAAAAGATAGATACAAAGACATCATTCTTTAACACAGTCTCTCCCATACTGCTGAAGGAGTTTCTATTCCTTGGGACACTGTGGCGGATCGACAGAGGGCGACTATGTAGACGCCATGATGCTGGGGTGATCCTCTGACCCCTATCAGGATAAGTGCCAGCAAAGGAAGTTGGCTTTCCTGCCACAGACAGACTGGTTATTGTAGAGATTTCTCTCCTACACTTTATATTGTGGTAGCAGCCTTCACTGGAGCCTGCTTTACTATCATCCAAGTGTTCCCAAAAGCAAAACCAAACAGTGAAATCGCCAACCCAATGAAGGCAGTTTCCAGAGACGAGGAGCCTATGGATCCTGAGATGCAACAGAGACTGCCTCTGTATGGAAGGCAAAAGGTTCACCTAGGAAGACTTGATCACAAAGACGGAAGTAGAGGGAGAGTGTTAAAGACCCACGAAGGAAGCGAAGGGTTCTAGAAAAGAGGTAAAAACAACAAGTTTCCAAAAGGCTAAAGTTTTTAAATGCTTTCTGAACTAACAATTTAAAGCAAACATTAATATTTTTAATCAGTGAGTGAGAAGAGATAGAGAAATACCAAACACTTGCAGAATGTGAGAATGAGCCCTACGGAACCCCTGCTCTGCTCTCTTCGATGGCAAAACATTTTGAAGGCTTAAGTCATAGCTATCAGAGGATAAAGACACTCCTCGATTTACTCCCCAGTGGCAATGCCTGGGACCCTGAAATAAGCGGAAATCACACTGCCCCCAACTGTTCTTCACCTACTAAGTTTTCTCACATTAAGAAAATATCATTTCCTACCTTAGGTGACCAAATGTACAAAGATGCCACACAATTTGGTCAAATACAATAGTCATTTCTTATGCCAATAACAAAAACAATTTAGGGAGCCCAATAGCAGAAGCTGAAAGTGAACTGGCCTCCCCCGTGGCCATGACAAAGAGTTACACAAGTGGTACACAGTGTGTTCAGATGTGGGTGCGGCCTTCTGTGTTTTCACAGGCACACTCACGTTATCTCCCAGCTCCGCCAGCAAAACTGTCTTGGAACGATCAAGAACTATCACAGCATATAAGTATAGCTGATCAGGCTGTTTCCACACACCTGCTGTGGCCTAGAACTTGATCCAGAAGCCATAGGGATAAAATCCAGGGAGAAGCTCCTGGGACAGTCGAGACAGCACCCAGTATCAGCTGGCTGGTGACTCCCCGGGTTCCAGTTCAATGGGCCAGAGGTTTCAACCCACTCAAAAGACAAAGGAGCAGGCTACAGTAGGATTGCCCCGTGAGAGTGAAGGAGCAGGCTACAGTAGGAATGCCCCGTGAGAGTGAAGGAGCAGGCTACAGTAGGAATGCCCCATGAGAGTGAAGGAGCAGGCTAGCCGCAGAAATGGACACTGGGACTGAGGTGTGAAGCAAGAAAGGGATTTGTAAGAAATAACCAAAATAATATTCACGTGTCATCTGAATAGAAAGATTTATTTGACTTTTTCTTTCTATTTTCTCATATTGATTGTAGTACTTTAATTGAAAAATACACACATGGGCTGGAGGTGTCTCTCAGTTGGTAGCATGCTTGCCCAGCCTGCACAAAGTATTAAGTTCGTTCCCCAGCACTGCATAAACCAGGCCTAGCGACACATACCTATAATCACAGCATTTGGGGGGAGGCAGTAGAAAGGGGCATCAAAAATTCAAAGTCATCTTTAGCTACGTAGGTTACGTGAGACTCTGTTTTGTTTTGATTTTAAGTTTATAAGCAATTTCCACAACTTAAAACAATTATCCTATGTAGTATGTTCTTAGGATTCATAGACCTCTTGTCAAACTTGTTCAGCCACATTGATTAACTCACTCATTCATTACAGTCAACAAGCACACTTGAGTACAAAATACTCACAGATATGAAGGTACAATGCTGGGAAGATAAGCAGGGCCCCTGCTCTTGTGAATTTAAAGTCTAGTATCCCAAACAGTCTCGGAAGTAAGGCTAGACGGTGGAGAAGGACCACAGACACCATCTTTGAGAAGGTCCATGTGTGTGGCCCATGCTCTTAACCTTAAGGAAGCTCTCATGCTTCTCAGGAAGGAACAACCAGGGAGTTGGGCACCCAGCTTGAGAAAAACGCAGAGATGCTGTCAGCCACCAGGCTGGTCCACAGAGTCATGCCTCTCACCAAGAGCTACCTGTGTCCACAGGCCACCTACCATCCGCAGGAAAGAGAAAGGAGACACAGTGCTAGCAACTGTACTAGAAAAATAAACACAGAATGAATGCGCCCGCAGCGCACGGCCATCCCCGGGACATTGCAAAGCCTACACTGCAGTCAGAATAGGAGGCCTGCTGAGACTAAGACATCAATCCATACAAATAAGGAACATCATTCCTCGATTTTGTTCAGTGCACAAATCCTTACCAAGCGACTACTATGCCCAGGGAGCTATAGAAGAGGGTGGAATTAGAGGTCACAAAGACGGTGTCCAGGCTCATTGTCCCCGGGTACCTCCACTAACCTAACTGCCACAAGGTTCGGTAAAGGCTCCACTGGGAAACAGCACGAGATGCTGCCAGCTCACGAGAAGAGGACAAGCCAGGCTAAAGATGATAAGAAGTAATCAAAGCCTTGATTCCAACTCTGCAGGCTGTGAGAAACAGAAGGGAGCTTATGTTCACGTCAGGGATGAAAAATGCCAGAGAGGAAAGGCCAAAGCGAGGAGCCATGCAGCTGGCACACCCAGGGGGATGAACCAGTTCGCAGCTGCCTTGGGCATCTGGACCATCTGTGTGAAGTCATCCCGGCACAGAAGTGCCAGGTAAACAAGCTACGTGCGTGAGGAGACTGAAACAACCCTCTCCCACCTTCAGGTCATCTTACTCCCTTCCGAAGAACTCTCCTGGCTCGGCTAGAGGGAGTCTCCTCCCACACAGGAGAGCTTGGTTTGTCTGTGTGGTAATCTAGTTCTTGTTTTGTTTGTATTGTACCCATGGGGACCCAGAGAGGAACCGGATACGGGGTCCATTTTTATGAAATGTGCCATCCTTTTTGGCCTAGCCTAGCGGGTCAGGGCTTCTTGGGAAAACAAAGTTCTAAGTAGAGGCCTCAAGAAGGAAGAGGGTCTCATTGAGCAGGTACAGCGTCACAGGGAAAGGAACCAGGGTGGGCGGGCCAGGATACCGCTGGATATTTGAGTGCACAACCTTAGATTCCATGTCCCCCAAGCAATCTTCTAAATATAATCCAGCTCCCACAGGGAAAGAATGTACTGGTTGAGTTGACATAAACAGCCCACAGATTTGCAGTAGTGGTTCTCATTATGACCTAAAAGAACCAGATGTCCTGACTTTGAGACTTAGTCTTCTTTACAAACTAGCTCGAGGGACCTATTGAGTGGAGAAAACCATTTTTCGGTAGCCCCGCCCCCAGCAGAACTACCTGCCCCACAGTGTATCCCATACCCCATATAGGAAGCACCCTGTCCTCCATGCTACAACATCCTAAAGGCTCAATACTAAACCCTGAAGGAAACTTACATTGCTAGGAATTCATTTGGCTTGTAAAGCAGTAGAAAGTTGCAGCTAACCGTCTATATAAAAAGATGTAAGAGGAAATCACCTATTAAAAAGATGTAAGGAAACAAGCATTGCTCTAACCCACAAACAGGAAATAAATGTGAGACTGAACAGGGACTTTATGGAAACCAACGCCATACAGCAGTGGTTCTCAAACTTCCCGATGCTGTGACCTTTTAATACAGTTCCTCATATTGTGCTGACCCCCAAGCATAAAATTATTTCACTGCTACTTCACAACTGCAATTTTGATACTGTTATGAATTATGCAATGTAATATCTGTTTTCTGATGGTCTTCATTGACCCCTGTAAAAGGATTTTTCAGGCCCCCAAGGAGCTTGCAGCCCGCAGGTTGAGAACTGCTGCCATACAACCAACACAAGAAATCAAGGCCGATCCTTTTCCCAAAGTGTGAACTCAGAAAGTCTCACATACAGCATACAAGCACCTTGCTGCACTACCCAGGTTTAGACGCTACATGAAAGACTTAAGAGCATGTATTCCAGTGACCCCAGCTGTCCTGTAAGACCAGCCCTCAAAGTTCTCTAGTCCTTCACCTTAACAATAGCTACAACAGATAAAAATAGAAGGAGTTCATAATACCTAATAAAAATACCTACACATGTACTGACAGAGAAGGGCCCTGGGTGCTATACACGGGAGTCTATTTCTGTAATTGTAGACTTAAGAGAATCACAAGTTCAGGACTTCCTGGTTTACAGAGTGAGTTTATGACCAGCCTGGGCTATATTACATCAAGTAATATATGATACATAATGTAATATGATATCATAATGTAATATGGTAAATATTACATTATGTATCATAAAGAAAAAAAGATAGTCAAAAATTTTTCAGAAAAAAACACCACAAATAGCCAAGAATATAATGAAAAGTTACGTGTGTGATATATGCCTATAATGCCAACACTCAAATTTAGAGGCAGGATCATCAGGAGTTCAAGGTTAGTAAGAATAACATGAGACCTTACCTCAAAAAAAAAAAATCAGATGAAGAATATAATGAAAACTGTTCGACCTCAATAGAAAAGCAAATTCAAGTAAAATGGCAGATCAGTGAAGGTTTTAACAGCACCCAAAAGTTGTGGGAGATTTGTACACTGTGTGAAAATGTATTGCTGTGATTGGTGTAACAAAATAATGAATGGCCAATAGCTAGGAGGAGGTTAGGCGGGACTTCCGAGGACAGAGAGGACTCTGGGAAGAAGAAAGTCAGAGACGCGAGGAGACATGAAGGAAGCAGGATGGGCAGTACACGACAGAACACAGATTAATAGAAACTGGTTAATTCGAGTTATAAGAGCTAGTTAAAAACAAGTCTAAACTAAGGCCAAGCTTTTATAATTAATGTCTCCTTGTCATGATTTGGGAGCTGGCTGGTGGGACAGAAAAAGACACATACACACATCGCATCTGGACACATGAACACACACACTAATAAACGTAAAGATACACAGGAAAAAGAATTAACCTGTGTTATTTATGACAGACCCACTTAAATAGAAGCTATTTAAATACTTGCTTACTTAATATGCTTAATATTTTGTATAGAATCCAAAGATGAATGAGGCATAAACTATTAGTGTCGGAGTTCTGCTTTACACTGGACCGTGGAGGAATTAGGGTCACTCCAGGGTGGATTTTGACTTAGCAGAGCAGCAGGGAGCCAGTTTCGGGTGACCTGACTGCCTGTTGCTTCACAAAGGGCCTTTTCTGTTGTTGTACAATTTACACCTTAGCAAGTCAATTTCTGGACACCAAAACCTCTAACCTGGAGTCGCTTGAAGGAACCAAAGGCCCAAGCAAGTCTCAGTCACAAGAACTCTCGGTTTTCCAAGTCCTCTCATAGCTAAGTTTTGCAAACGCCTTGAACCCTTCCGGAAGAACTCAGATGAGATTCAAACACCTCAAACAAACGGTATCCGTAATAAAGGTAACATCACAAGGGGCAGTTGAAAGCCTAGGTGCTAACACTCCGGAATCCAAGCCAGATGCGATGCTCTGTGGGATCTCCGCTACATATGAGAATTGTAAATCCCCACACTTGTAGATTGGAGAAGCTGGTACTGTGTTAGCCCCCTTGGTCAATACTGTGACAAAAGTGGCTTAAGGAAAAAAAGGTTTAACTCACAATTTGAGGGGACTGTTCCATTCGGGTGAGGGAGTCATGGAGGCAGGACTGTGAGGCAGCTGGTCACGTGGCATCCACAGTCAGGAAGCAGACAGGATTGAACACTGCTGCTCAACCTCTTTCTCCCTGTTCTGTACTTTGGAACCCATAGGGTGGTCCCATTTAGGGTCAGTCTTTCCAGTAAATTAAACCCTTCACAAACATGTCATAGGTGATTTGAGGGCCTGTCAAACTGATGAGAGAAACCATCACAGTCAGGGTGTCTTGAGAACTGGGTTTCTTATGCACTGCTCTGTGCTGACTAGTTTTTTGTCAACTTGACGCAAGCTAGAGTCCTCAGAGAGAAAGAAACCTCAATTGGGAAAAATGCCTGCATAAGATCAGGCTGTAGTCAAGTCTTTAGGGCATTTCCACAATTAGTGATTGATGCGAAAGAACCCATCCCCTCCTGGGTGGTACCATCCCTGGGCTGGTGGTCCTGGGTTCAATTAGAAAGCAGGTTAAGTAAGCCATGAGAAGTGAGCCAGTAAGCAGCATCCCTCCATGGCCTCTGCATCAGCTCCTGCTTCCGGGTTCCTGAACTGTTTTGAGTTCCTGTCCTGACTTCCTTCAGTGAAGAACAATATGCTTTTGGTCATGGTGTTTCACCGCAGTCCTAAGACATGGCTCTACAAAACACTGCCCGAGATGGCACAGAAACATAGGAAAGTCTAAACTGCAGCGTTCTCTTCTTGTAGTAATTGCTTTTTAGTAATGGTAAAAATATCATGACCAAGACAACCTATAGAAGGAAGAGTTTATTTGGATTTATGGTTCCAGAGGGCTAATCTATAATGGTGGGGAGGCGTGGCAACAGGTGTGCAGACCAGAAAACTGAGACATCACACCTCAGTCTCACAGAGGAAGCTAAAGAGTGACCTGCAAGGCTATATAAACTCTTAAAGCCTACCACCAATGACAGACTTCCTCTTGCAAGACTTTATGTTCTAAAAGTTCCATAACCTCCCCCAAAACAGTGCAAGCAACAGGGATCCAAGTGTTTCCATTCATGATCCTACGGGAGATATTTCTCATTCAGTCCTCATGAATTCCTGCACTGCAAACCTTTCTGTAACCCCGAAAGGACACAGAAAAGGCTTTCTGCATCAGGTACCCCCATTACTGGGTACTCATTACCCATCAAGCAGCCGTTAGTGTTGGCCATCACCTGTCAATATCCTTGCAGTGCTGACCTCCAGTGCAGAACCTGAATTCCTCTTTAAATCCCAGAACACTCAGAATGAGACTTGGTTTACAGAGCATTCTCTTGGCTGAAAATGTTTCGTACCTGCAACTTACACCTTTGCAATCACTTTTCTTTAATGACTTCAAATAATTTCCTGATGAGAATGGCAAGTCTGAGGCCAGTCTCAGCTACATAGTGAGTCTGCAGGCATCCAGATATACAGTGGGACTATCGCAAAAAAGCCAATAATAATAATAATAATTCCATGAAATCTAAAAGCAGGAATATTCTTCAAAGCGTGAAACCAAAGAATCCTAACAAGACCTAACTGCTAGCTCTCAACCATAAAATGAGTGGAAACTAAGCCAGCTCATAGGAAAGCAATGGTGAGACCTGAACACCAGCTCTTGAATAGGAAGACTTTGACCAATAAACTCTAAGGCAGGCTAACCTCATCACAGGTCATCACAAAGAGGAAAGAGAGAAGATGGGTGTCTTTAGTCCTCTACTGCCATCATCACAACTTATAGCAGAGAAGGAACAGACACCAAAGCTGAAGAGATGGAGACACTAGGATTGGGTGGTGCTCTAGAGATGTGAGATCAAAAACTGTTTCCATGACAACAAGATGGCAGGTCCTCATGACCACTGCTCAGTGTTGTGTCTTGACCTAGTATTACTTTCCTTTTCCATCGCAAAATGGTGGGAGGAATGAATGAGGTGCACAGATGTGGTCCAAAGCTATCCATTTAGAGAAGACGACTTGGGAGCAGAGAGAAAGCACGGCTGGTTGTGCATGCAGGAAGCTGAACCCTCTGAAGATATGAGAATCATCATTGCTGGGGCTCATAGTACAGGAAATTTTGCTTGTTTGTTTTATTTTCACATTTCTACCTATCTACAATCTACCTACCTATATATCATCTATCTATATCTATTGTGTGTGTGTGTGTGTGTACACATGCATTCATGCACATACGCACACACACTTGCAGGTACACACTCTTGCACGGCACAGAAAATATATGGAGATCAGCGAACATGTGAGAGTTGTCTCTCCTTCTACCATGTGAGTCCCAAGAATCAAACTGTTCTGTAATCAAGCTGTCAGGCTTGGAAGCAGCATCTTTACCACTGAGCCAGATACCTCTCCAAGCCCACTGGTTTCTCATAATGTCATTTTTCCCTAAATGGTATTAATAATGTCCACAATGAATTCTAGGGTTGCCTCCTGCCATCTTAATAGAGGAATCACTATGCACATTCTCTTCCTAGATCTATTTCCTGCTTGGGTACCTTGGCCATGAGATAAACAACAGTGCTAATGTTACTCACACCTTCCTGCGTGTCACTGGGCTAAATGCTTTAAGCTCATGAATAAACACAAGAGAAGCTCCATCAATGTCCCCAAGATGAGGAATCTCAAGTGCTCACACCACAGTTAATAAGAGGCAAAACCCGGGTCTCAGGCCTGGGCTGATTAATGTGAGACACCAGTCAAAGTCACACTCACCTGCCCCATCAGGTGTGATGGTGCCCAGCTTCACAGCCAGAGGATAGCCCATGTCTCTGAAATGTTCCAGTGCGTGGCCATTGCCCCCTGCGCTGTCGAAAAACCACTTCCCACACAGAACAGAGCCATCGGTCAGATTCAGCCAGAGGTTTTCCCGCAGGTCGCATCGGGCACACTTCCAGCCGCTGGAAAGTCACGAGAGACTAGTCAGAAGCTAGCACATCAGGAAAACATTGATGTGCTAAAAATGAACAGCGCCTCCTACTGGCAGCACTTCCCTGGGTTCTCACCCCAGGATATTACTGCTCTCCATCCAGAGCAAGGGACCATCCATCCAGCTCCTTGCCTGCCTCCCAGACTCAGCCAGAGACTATCAGCACCTCCAGCATGGCTCTTTAAAAAACTGGCAAAGGCAAGAAAGAGACCATGTCCTCCAAACTGCCACTTGCAGAAAATGGCTCCTGAAGAGGGTACAAACATGGAAGATCCCACGTGCAAAACATTTCCAAAGCATTACCCATATATGGTAAAATTGATGTGGGTTAAAACTATGCAAAAGTCCAATTTGGGCCTATCCCAGGAAGACGAATGCATTACAGGCACAGTCCTCTGTGTGGTATTAGGAAGCCAGCATAGTTTGGGAGCGAACATAATGTACCTGTGAAACAGCTGTCTGGGTATTTACGTCTGGTGTTGTAGGTTATTGGTATAGTCAGCTCTGGCCAAATAAACCTCTTTGCAGTGGGCAACAGGGACTACAGAGACTGAAAACCAGCCCACATGCTGAAAACAAGAGACTGTTGGATGCTCAACCATACCTGGGACTTCTACATCACCTCCTCTAGGCTCAGAAACTGCAGAATGATGAGAGGTGCAGTGCTGTGGGACACGGTCCACTGGGCATGACACCGGCAACGCACTTTTGAAGTCACAGTGGCTGTGACAAGATTGGGCCCGTTCCCGCATTCAGTAGGAAGGTGCTCATGAAGCCTGCCCCTCCCTGAGAACTTATAAGCAATTAATGGTTGCTCAGGAAGGAAACCCATTTTCTTCAGTGGCGTACTCATTGGTGAGGTTCCCTCGCTCCCATAAATAACCCTTCACCTCCTTGCTTAAACTCATGGAGTCCCAAAAGAGAAGGCAGTAAAGCAGAAGGAGCTGGTCTAGAAGAGGAGGGGATCCGCAGGAATGATGGCAGGGTGGGAGAGGCTTACAGGAGTGAACGTGAGCAAACCAGTTACACATATGTGTTACGCACATGTATGAAGACATCGTAACCATGTAGCTAGTCTTTATGTCAACTGACACAGTTGTTTTGGAAGACAGAATTTTAAAAATTCAATTAAAAAAATGCCTTCATAAGATTGGTCTGTGGGCAAACATGGAAGGTGTTTTCTTGATTGATGATTGGTGCGGGAGGGCCTAACTCACTGTGGGTGGTACTCCTGGTCCTGGAGTGTATAAGAAAGGAGGCTGGGCAAGACTTGAGAAGCAAGCCAGGAAGCAGCATCCCCTATAGTCTCTGCTCCCTTCCTGCATCCAGGTTCCAGCCTTGCTTGGGTTCCTGCCCTGACTTTCCTCATTGAACTGTAACCTGGAAGATAGCTGAAATAAACCCTTTCCTCCACAAGTCGTTTTTGGACACAGTGTTTTACCACAGAAAAAGAACTAACTAAAACCACAATAAAACCTTATTATGTATAAAAATTAAACATTACTAAAATAAACATTGAATTATTATTGATTATCAATAAAATAAACATTATTATGTCTAGTTAATATACCTTGATAGGACTTTTTAAAAGAATATAGCTGAAGAGAAAGTTTTGGGTTCATTGAGTGTACTTTTTATTTTTAAGTTTTCTTTACTTTTATTATGTTATGTGCACAGGTGTTTTGCCCACATGTATGCAAGTGCACGGTATATGTGCCCGGTGCCAGTGGAGGACAGAAGAGGGCACAGGATCCCCTAGATCTGGAGTTACAGACAGTTTTAAGCTTCCATGTGGGTTCTGGAAACCAAACCTGGGCCCTCTGCAAGAGCAGCAAGTGCTCTTAACCACTGAGCCAGCTCTTCAGCAGCCATTGGGGCACACTTTCAAAGGGAACATTATAGCTCAGGACCCCTCTTCTCTCTCCTTTCATCCAAGCATTATAGCTCAGGGCCCCTCTTCTCTCTCCTTCACCCCACCGTGAGCTAAACACCCCGGACCACCACAGGTTCCCCACGGTATCTGTATCATCACTGACTAAAAGCAACCACAAGCGATGCCATGAGCCAGCTAACCATAAGTGATGCCTCCAAAACCACGAGCGAAGACCAATGCTCCTCCATTAACGGCTGATCTAGCTCAGGTGTCTGCTATAAAAGATGACTGACATACCCATTCCAATTCCAAATTAAGAAAGTAAGTGACACAAACTGAATGCTAAATGTCAGTTATGGATCACATAGCTAGCAGAAAGTGCCATCTAATTCTAGAAAATTCTGCTTAGGGTTAGTGTCACAGTCCTTCTTTCTACAGAGGGAGAAAATGAGGCCCAGAAGTGATGTGCCTTCTCCAAAACTAAAACAGACAGCAGTGTGGTCACAGGTCACTGAAACTGGACGCATTCCTAAGCACCATCTGCTCTTTCCCTCTGAGATCTGCCTTCAGGGATGTTACTGCATCCCAAAGAGCATTTGACCTACTGGAGACAACATAGCATTGTTTCAAGTCAGATCCCCTGGTATGAACTCAGACACATAGATCTGAATGTGTGCAGCTGATCCCAGTAGAATGGGGAAGAAAAACAAGAAAAGGGAGAAGCCAGCACAAGATTTGTCACCAAGTGACTACCACAGAGGCTTTGGAACCCAGGTCTGATGAGAAACTGCAGGGGCTAAGTCTTCCCAAAAACAGCAGGAGGCTGAGTGATCCACCCCTCTACTGCCAGCATTAGGTCCCAGAGGACAATGGCTTCAACTGGCATGTCCGACCACCCCACACACTGCGGAGGTGGTGTTGCCAAGCGCAAGGTCCCTGTGCAGAGCCCCACGTGTGTGCAAACACCAGGTTCACTGCAGGACAGGGCCTGGGCTTAGGCTTAGGCCTGAGAGCTCGGCACCAGCTGCAAAGGTCCAGGCCTGTCCAGAAAGAAGTTTTTTATCTATGTTGTGTTTTTTTTTCTTTCTTTTGTAAACTGATTTTTAAAGTTAGCATACAAAATGGTGGGTCTCGTTAGGACATTCCATGCATATGGGTCGTCATAGCTAGCTCTAACAAGTCTTCCTCCACAGCCCCCATGCCCACACTTCTCCCCCTCTGTCTTCATACCATGTATGTTCCAGTGTCCTCTTTTACTCCGTCACTTAAGACCTCTTCCTGCCATCATGATCCCCTCTCAAGTTTCATGATCTGTACATACACAACATATATGTGCATATGTGTATATGTGTGTAAACACTTAAATAGCTTTAAATCTAGGTACAAATATGAGAGAAAACGGATTTGTCTTTCGGAGCCTGACTTGTTTCTATTAACAATTTTTGGTTTTTACTGGACTTGTTTTAAAAGGCATCTGCTAAGAAAATATAATACTGCTAATTCAGAGAAAACGTAGAAAATCAGATGTTGCCTTGACTAATTTGGGGGGCTAAAGTTCCATTTTGCTGGCAGACTCTCACCTGGGAGGAACCCTGACCCCGTTGTCCAGCTGGGCGAGGTTGTTGGCGTACTTCGATACCGGCAGTTCATTTTCCCACGTGTCGGGGTCCTGCTTCCTGTACGGCGACTTCGAGCTGAGCACTGCATCACAAGCGATCGTTACCTAGGAGACAAAGCCAGGTACAACACTGAAAGCTCAGCTTCCAGAAGCGGACACGGAAGCTTATTTAGAAATGCAGCAGCCTCACTGAGGGAATTCAGTCACCACAGTCAGGTCCGGTCCCCCAGTCCACCTAGGTCTGACCCAGGCATGAGCTCGGAGTACTGCCAATGACATGAGAACACGGGAGAAAATTCCACTCACCAGCTCAAGCTTAGCATTCACACGGAATAATCCCTACCACTTAGCAAGTGGGGTGGAAAGGGTGAGGGAGCAAGTTATGAGCAGGAATGCCCAGAATCTGCCCGAGGGCTGTGCTTCCTCCTAACATACCAAGATATCCAATATCCTCAACTCACGTGGCGAGGGGTCAAGGGCACTTGAATGGAATGCACACAGCCCAGCCCTTCTTAGTCTGACACAGACGTGAGGCTGGCAGAGGACATGCCTGGGTGTCTCTGTGCGAGATGGGCACACTCACAAGCAGATGTGTGGCGCCTGCTGGGTGCCCTCTGCTTTCTCTCAACACGCGTGTCTAAGGCTGCAAGCTAATCCCTAGCTCCTGTAAGACATAAATTCTGCTGAAGAGTCACAGTACAGACACTCTGAAAACAGTCCAGCCGTTCTTCCAATGATCAAACAGTGGCCGCAGGACCCAGCAGATTAACAGCTAGAGATACATCCAAGGGACAGGAAAATGTAGTTACAAGAGGACAGAGGAAGACAGAGCTGTAACCACATTTTAGTTACAAAATGAAAGCCGCCCAAACGCCTAGCAATGATAAATAGAATGAAAAACCAAAATGAAATTTTATTTGGAAATAAAAAGAAACAGGACTCCAATATATGATGCAGTGTGAATAAATCTGGAAAATGTATGCAGAGTGAAAAAAAAAGCCAATCACATTCTTTGGGGCCTCAGAAAGCTTCGTCCTATGAGCACAGGCATGCATGATAGTTAGACCTTCAATATGAGCACCCCTACTCATCCGTCATGTATACACCCTACAGTGAGCTGTGCTGTCAATCATCACAGTGCATCTCCCACCGCCGGGCAGAGTCCGTGCCTGGACCTGACAGCCTTAGCATTGCATCCCAGCAGCCAGTATCCTCAAGGCAGCTTCCCATCCCCAGCAGCAGCTGCCTGGATCATGCTCCACCCTGCTAGGCACTTCCTCCACACACCACACACACATCAACTGACATTCAAAAGTCAGATAAAACTTCTTTTCTTTGAATTTCTTTTCAGGCGACAGTCAACAAAATTTCCTCAGGCCCCTGGGGCTGCCATAAAACTCTGGCCTAGGTCTTCTGAAATCATCCTTTTCATGGGCCGTGGCTGAGGTCAGGCTGATAATCCCATACCTACACCGAGTTCGTTCCCCTTGAGTTGGTGCTGGATTGAAGTGAGGAGACCTGGACTCCACCTCTGCTCTCAGAGGCCTCAAATCCAGTGCTTCCCTAGAATTGGCTCAAACCAGTCCCTGAGAATTGATTGTTGAATTTAAGAAATTCAGCATCGTCCCTGTATTTGTCACAGTGCTGGTCACAATAGGCAAGAAAGAGGACACACTCAATGCAATCAACTGCTGGCTGGGAAGATGGCATGATGCCTATGCACCACGGAACGCTGTGTATCTAGGACAGTGAGTGAGATCCTACCATTTGCAACAGCACAGATAAAACTTAAGACCATTATGTTGAGTGAAATCAGCCCAGCACAGAAAGACGGGTACCACGTGTTCTCACTCACACGTGGAACATTACAAAGTTAGTCCCATTAAGTTTAGTAGTCTGGTGGGTGCCTCGAGCTTGGGAGGGGATCGAGCCAGAGAGATGCAGGTTGGCTATGTAAGGGAAGGGAATTGTGGGTACTCAAACACAGCGCATTTTCACACATCACAAAGGATTCTGAACAGAACAAAAGGCCATTGCACAGTGTAATCAGCACTCCGTCAGCGAGCCACACCCCAGCCCTAAGATTATGGTTTTATATATCAAGTAATTTGAATAAGAAAGGAAAAATTAAGAAATTTTGCTAGACACCTGCTAAACACAATAATTCTTAAAATTAACTACTTAACAATAATTACCCTTGAAAGGCCATGAATTCAAGCTCCGGTTCTTCCTCATTGGTTGACTGTTACTTTCAGTCACCTCTGTCTACGCTCCTGATGTTTTGACATCTGTGCTAGCTGAATGTGGCAAATTCCAAACAGTAGCCTTTCTTCCCAGCACACCCAGGGACCTCATTGTTGGGCTGGACTCAGCTATGACGGGGTCTACTATGGCAATCAGCAAGCTCAGGGAAGCCTGCTCCCCCCAGAGCTGTTGAGCAGGACAAACACCCCACTATCGGAGCTCCAGATGCCAGGCTCTGGGGTCTCCACTGTGAGCCTGTCCACTCAGAGGTCATCCACCTCTCTGATGGGACTTAGGGTAACTCAAAATGCTCTGTGGTGACACACCCAAGAGACCTTGATCACTGTTTTTAGACTAAGCATTTTCTTTATATTTAAAAGTTCAAAGGAAAATCCTCAAACACTACAAATGTAGCAAGTGCATGTAAAGAACTGACTAAGCTCACTTGGGTGGCTTTAGCTACACCCAAGTACGACTGGTAAGACTAGTACCAGGGTTGCAAACCCAGGCTTTCTTCTCAAGCGGCTCGATTTCAGAGTTCTTTTGTTTTCCATTTTTTAAACCATTTCTTAAAAAGACATTTTATTCAAATTTTCATTTTAGAGTATCCTCAAAAACTGTTATTAAATATTTTGATGGTTTGGTGGGGGTTTTTGTTTTATTTTGGTTTGGTTTTGTTGCTTGTTTGTTTGAGACAGAATCTTACTCTGCAGCGCTGAATTTCTAGCCATCATCCTGTTTCAGCTGCCCGGTGCTGGATTACAAGCATGACTCACTAAGCCTGGTTTGAGGCTCTTTCTTAATATTTACATTTTTCACATAAAAAACCTTCACATAATCACAATATGCTTCCTTGATTCCTTTCCCACGGCAAAAGCAGATTTACATTGAACTAGAGCAATAAATCTCTCCAGCGTTGGAGCTGGAGAGATGGCTCAGGGTTAAGGACTCCAATTCAATCCCCAGCACACAGATGGCAGCTCACAACTATTTAACTCCAGTTCCAGGGGATCTGACACCCTCATACATACATGAAGTCAAAACACCAATGCACATAAAATAAAAATAAAAGAGCTCTCAGCCTTAGAGACGCAAGCGTTGGTGCACTTCAGGTTAAGACCATTTTATCCACTAACATATTTTATTCCTGGTAACAGCCATATGAGTCAACACGGGAAATCCGAGAAAGCAACAGTAATTTCATTTCCACAAGCCTCACTGAGCACCTCATATGGAAAAGGATGCCTTACATTTAGTAAGTGGGAGGGCTGTGGCCGACAGATGCACAGCGCTCTGATTGCTATGGTCTTAAATTTAGCTATATGATAAATCAGAAGAAAATAGATTACGGTAGAAACCAAGTCCCTCTGAACATGGAAACTCTAAGCACAAACATCCCCTTTGGGCAGGAGCAACTGAGTAAATGGTTCTTGCTGGTTAGGGTCCGTCAGAAGGTTCTGGGACCCCCAGGCCTAGCTTTGGTTCTGGCGGAGTCTGAAGAGGGCGAACTGAACCAGCATATCTAAATTTAACCCACCTTGACCCGCTGCCCTCTGAGACCAGGCTATAGGAGACAGAGGTATCCGTGCGCAAGGTGGAAGAGAAGGGGAACAGAGTGTTGGAAGCCACACGGGAAGTGAGGGAGAAGCAAGAAGGACATGATGGGCCACAGCAGTCCTTTGACCTCTCTGAGGACTCTAGAATCAAATGCAATAGGCAGCTTCTCCATCCCGCCACCAGCCCAGCCCCCAGTTTCTCCAGGAAAAGCAAGACCTTTCCCTGAAACTGACTCCGAGAAGATGCAAGAAAAAGGAAGGGCGTGGGGGTAGGGTGAGCTCACTACCAAAAATCTGAAAGAGTCATCTTGGTTCTCCGCAAAGCTGAAGTGAGCGAGCGTGTCTTCCCCATGCTCCCCAGGCCAGAATGTAAGAGCAGTTAGTTCTTTTTATAACTGTGCTGCTGCCGCTGCCCCAGCAGGCAAACTCTTCCAGTCTTCAAACAAAATCTTACACGGAAAGGCAGCGTGAAAACCTGACAAACACACGGCCATCCCTCCAACCAACACAGTCCCTCTCCAGCTGTCCCAGCACCTCTGAGGTGCAGTCTTTGACAATCCCAGCAACAGACACAGGAGCCAGCCCGGCCTAGAAGAGCCCATCCCCATGGAAAACCCAACAGAGATGGGGGCTGGGCAGCAATAAGGAAAGGCCACTCTGTGAGACCTCAGAGAGAGATACTCCTGTTCACGTTGTTTTTATTTATTTATTTATTTATTTATTCTATATTGTTTTGTTTTGTTTTTTGAGACAGGTCTCATTATGAGGTCCTGAGTGGCCTTGAACTATTTAGCCCAGGCTAGCCTCAATCTCACAATTCTCCTGCCTCAGCATCCTTAGTGCTGGGATCACAATCATGTGCCCCCACACCCAGCTTTTGCTCCATTTTATCCTCTTCTTCTGAACCAGCCTTCCCCACCCCACCACACACACACACACACATACACAGAGGACATACAGCTATGTGCACACTCACACGCGCATTTGACACACAGCCAAGTGCACGCTCAAACACACACACCTGACATACAGCTACATGCACACTCACACAACTTGACACAGTCATGTGCACACTCGCACACACATACTTGACACACAGCCATGTGTACGCTCACTGACCAGGGCTGGCAACTCCTCGATGTTTGGAAGGGCTATTTCATAGTGGTCTGGGAATATAACAAGTTTGGCTTCGTCTTCATATTCATAATCGTCACTATTTAAATCATCATCCGAATCCAGATCTGAGGAGAGAATAAAAACAAAGAAAAGAAGTGAGGAAAGGGAGGCCCGAACCAGTGACACCTTCACAGGGAAGCCACAGGCTTAACACACAACGGACAGGATCCGACCCTGACAGAAAGGAGACACAGGCTCTGCCATCTTTCCTAAAAGGTGCATATTTGTTTATCAATGACTGGGTCACATCATAAAGCCTCACAGAATGGGCATACATTCTAAAAACCAAAAACGTATAGGCTTTAAAGAAATAGATGTTTCCGCTAAGAGTTTAGGGCCGTAATTTCACCAGAACAAAGGAAACAAATAGTGTATGTGCACATGCAAGCGTGTGTCTATCTGTCTGTCTGTCTCTCTGTCTGTGTGTGTGTGTGTGCACGCACACATGTGCACGCGCGTGCGAAGACCAAAGGTCAACCTCAGGTATCATTCCTTAGGAGCCATCCATCTTGTATTTTGAGAGAAGATTTCTCACTAGCATGAAGCTCACTGATTTCAGCGAGATCAGCTGACCAGTGGGCCCTAGAAATCTGCCTGTTTTGGCCTTCCCAGTGCCAATCCCAGGGATTACAAGCATCTATCACCACACCCATGGGGATGGTGGGGTCTGCAGGCCAATCCAGGTCCCTGGGCTTGCAAAGCAAGCCCTTTATTAACTGACCCATTTCCCCTGTCCAGAAGCACACTGAGAGTGGTGACGCTGGCTTTAATGCTGGTTCACACGTTTACTATAATTTTAAACAAGTCACAGACTCTAACCTTTGCACTTCCATCATGTTCAGCATGGAAAGGGAAGCACTCCTCTTACAGAGGAGAGAAATGAGACGTGGCAGAGAAGAGACCCAGCGCAAGGTCACTCTCCAATAAGCAGTGGCTGTTGTTTAGAAATCCCCCCCGTCTCCCTCATTGCCTCTTCTTCACTCTGTTCTCCCACCTCTAACCGTGGTTGAAATCTTGAAAGCCAGAAGGAACCCATTATGTGAGCAGTCCTGTTGCCCTAGGGCCTAGCGAATTCTCTAAGTACAACAGGCCTCTCTGGCCAGCCCTCTGCCAGGCCACCCTCTGGGCTTGGCTCACCGCTGGTAAAGGTTAGGTGACAGCCCAAGGAGATGTTTGGTCATAATATTTACATGGACAGCACAGCCTTGCCCTCACAGGGATGTCAGCGGCCCAGGTCATGTTTGTGTTTATATGTTTGGGACTATGGTGACAAAGAAGTCAAGTGATGTTCCATTCACACGCAAAGTCACACAAACAAACGTACTCTGTGGTCAGAAGAGAATGACTGGGTGACAGCGGGCACCTGAGAGCCAAGGACCTAAACCCTACCTCTGCCTTTCACGAGACGCTGCCCTACTTTCATGTGTAGCTCTGCTTTTCATTCGCAAAAGCAGGGCCCTTTTAAGTAACACATAAGACACAGCAAAAACGTAACCCAAACATAATAAAATCCTAAGATTCAGAAACACCAAGATAATGACCACCAACGTGACAGACCACTAACTTAACAAAGGCAGTCTCAAAGAAGATTGGGAGTTTATGAAACAACGCAAGAAACTGAAAGGGAATAATTCAAACAAAAAAGACCAGAAGTGTCCAAAATTCCAGACACTGTTGTTTTCTCTTTGTTTTTAAATATTTGCAAATGTTGGGACCTAAGATAAAACACAAAATTCCTTTGGTTCATACACATTAAATATATATATAGTGTGTGTGTGCCTGCCTTTGACTGTAGCCTATCTGTGGGGGTTTAAAAGAAAATGCCCCCAAAGGGAGTGGCACTATCAGGAGGTGTCCTTGTTGGACTGGGTGTGGCCTTGTTGGAGGAAGTGTGTCACTGTGGAGCTGGGCTTTGAGGTCTCATATATGCTCAAGCCATACCCAGTGTCTCAGCTCACTTCCTGTTGCCTGCAGATCAAGATATAGAATTCTCAGCTCCTTCTCCAGCACCATGTCTGCTTATGTGCACCATGTCCTACCATGACAATAATGGAATAAACCTCTAAACTGTAGCCACTCAATGAAATGTTTTCTTTTGAAAAAGTTGCTGTGGTCATGGTGCCTCTTGACAGCAATAAACACCCTCACTAAGACACGGTGTTATAAATGATTGAGGCTCTATCATCTATAACAAAAATCAAAACGAAAATGTTGAATCAGAAACATAGTCAGTTCAATACTATAGCAGAAGTATGGAAACATTTATTCTGCATAACAATGAAAATAAATAGCATGGGACTCTCAACGCTTGGCATTATTCCCATACACAAACACTACAAACAAAGGAAGGAAACTGAGGAAGCAAAGGTTTCAACTGAGCTGCTCCACTCCAATCTCCTTTACTATTAACATATTATACTCACAGCAGGTTTAAGGAACAGAGACTAAATTTCAAGCTTGTGTAAATAGACTCCATACACATAAGGTATTACCTATTTCTTTCCTATAGAGAACACATTCACTTAATGCTACTTCAAATATTATCTGACCTGAATAAATAAAGTGAAGGGAAAAAGCCTGCTAGCATTTACTAAGCATCTAACTCTGGGCGGGTTACCTCCTAGACCGTTAAGTAGATTCCACGGAACAAGGTCTTCAGGAAGCCCAGGTCAGATCTACGATGCTCTAGAGCCACCATGGGTGACTGCCTACACCTCCATGCTCCTCCTCACCTTCTCTAAATTCCTAACAAATAACACGAGGAGCCTCCACACACACCTCCCAGGGAGGTCCGGCTCTGAAGCAAAGCTGACATAGCTTCAGAAAGGTCATGGTGTCATGTAGGGCTTGTCTATGTCTCCTGAGTGTGGAGAAGACAGGGACTTCACATGTAGTTAAGCTCAGAGAAAGGGAACAGGCATTATCTGCCTCCCTCATCCCAGACCCCATGTATTGGTGGGCTGAAGTCTCTTTGACAGCACATACTACATGGAACACCAACATCTGTTAAAGATGCTTCAGGATGCCAAAATGTTGTACTCAACAAGCAAAAACATCAAAAGGGGTATTACTGTCACATGGGTAACCAACCACTACCTGATTGGATTGGATCAGAGGTCTACTCCACAGGAGGGATTCCTTGCCTGATCCTATAAGTTGTCATATATATATATATATATATACATATATATATATATACATATATATATACACACACACACACACACACACACGGTTAGGCCATCATACAGGGGAGCTGAATATTATTGTTTAGCTAACATGACACAGAATCAAGCTGACTATTAAATACATGTGTGTAGACCCATAGACAACTACTACTCTCAGTGAATGGTGGAGATGCAGATTCATGGTTACACATAGTAATGAAAATATGTGACAGAGGACGGCTTAGCCTTGAACATGACTTTTACATCATATTCACCAGAGCTCAGGGAACACTGCAGAAGACAAAGCAACAAGAGCACAAGAGCAAGAGGACAGAAGAGCTATGAAGTGTCATCTTTTGGGCACGGCACAGCCACTGCAATTACGCACTGGCAGCAGCTGTGAATGCTTGTATTGGGTCTACACAAGAACAGGACCATCCAGTATTCCTGTGAGCTGCGGAGAAGCCTTCCGTTTTCTAAGAAGTAGCCTGCTGAGGAAGCACAGACGGCGGCTTGTAGCAAAGGCCCCACTGAAATGCAGCCATAGGCAGCAGCAAGGCCTCAGCGGCTGCCTTCCCCTTCATTTCTAAAACTGTTCCTTGACAATAACCTTGGCAATCAAAATAATCGCTAGAAAAATAAAACCTCAGAATCTTTTAATGCAATCGCTGAAAGCAAAGAAGTCAGCTAACGCCTTCATGGAAACACAGAAAATGCTTTCTTTGCATGTAAAAAGCTGACCATGTACACACCAGTATCCTAACACCTAGATGAAGGAGGTGGCAGAAGAGGAAGTTCATGGCCAGCCTCCACTATGGCGAGTTTGAGAGTAGCCGAGGCTACATGAGACCCTGTCTCAAGAAACTGAAACTAGAGTAACAACAGAGTCAAATTGTTCAATGATTTCTACATCCATTGCCGAGGTCATTTAACTCACAAAAAGTCATTTTCTAGATAACAGCGGCAGGCGTTTGGGAGACCAATCACTCAAGCACGCAATGCACCTGGCCCTTTCAGCCCCAGAGCTCATTCTAGGCTATTCTCGGGTGGCTTGGTCTGTCTGGTTGGTAGATGGGGCTGAGGCACAGGGTGAGCTGAGCAAATGAAAAGGTCGCCAGTGAAGCAAAGCTACTCCAAAGAATCTTAAGGTGATTCTTTGGAAGAAAACCACAGACTGGAGGGAAGACACACCCTGGGTGGTACACAGTGCTGAAGACCACGCGTAGAAGCAAAGCTAGCTTCACGGCTGCTTCAATGGCTTCCCTTCTCAAATAGTCAATGTGTCTTCTCTTATGTGTGTGTGTGTGTGTGTGGTGAATGTATGTCTGTGTGTTTGTACATTCACACGTGTGTGTGAACATACATGTTTGTACATGTAAGGTGAAAACCAGAGGTTGACATTGAGTATCTTTCTTGATCACTTTTAACCTTATTTGGGGGGTGGGGGGAACAGGGTCTTATTAGTTCAGCTAGGCTGGCTGAACAATGTGCTCCAGGGATCTGCCTCCCTCTCTGCACTTCCTGCCCCCAGTGCTGAAATTAGCCACGTGCTACCACACCTGATATTTATGTAGTTGTGGTTGCTGAGGATCCAAACTCAAGCTCACGTGTGTGCACAGCAGGCCACAGTGACAACTGAGCCACCCCCATCTCTCAGTCTCTTTTCATTACAGTGACAGAGAAAAGCTAGCAGGAAGAGGTGATGCACACAGTAGTCCCTCTACTTAAAGAGGCTGAGATGGGAAGATCATCCATGTGGAGGAATTCCAGGCCAGCCTGGGCCACGTAGCAAGACTATGGCTTAAACAAACAAAAGATTTAAATAAGGATAAGCAAAAAGAAAACCAGAAGCAGGCCCTTCTTAGCCTAAGAAAAGAGCTACTGTTAGCAGTCTGCAGTATGTTCTCCTAGACACTGCCAGATTAGGGTCAAATATGTGCATGTGTGTGCACTACACACACATATGTGCCTACATCCACATAAGTGCACATACATACATATATACATATACACATATATATACACAAATATAGAGGCATGCATACACTTATCCACACGTAAACAATAGTGTGTTCAGATGTTTTCACAAATCTTAGACTAGTTATGTGATTTAGAAGTCAGCAATTATTTGCATAAGCAAGACTAGTACTTCTTAATGAAGAATATCAAACAACACTACCAGTCATTATTGCAGGCAAGAACTAAGGATGGGTGCTAAAAATTAGTAGGCCAACCCCATAGCTAATACCTTGGGGACGTCCCAATGTGTATGCTTTATTGTGTGTAGGTGTAGGTGGTTATCATCCCTGTGTGGGAGGCAGAGATATGAGGGTTCCTGGAGCTAGCTGACAATCAGTCTAACGGAATTGCTGAGCTCCGGGTTCAATGAGAGACCCTGTCCCAAAGAAGAAGGTAGAGAGCAATAGACACAACCACCCAACTACAGGGGACAGAGTGAGAAGACAACACAGAGACAGAGATAGTGAGAGACAGAAGAAGACACAGACAGGAGGCACACAGAAAGCAACCGAAAGCGGACTATTATTCCTCTCTAGCTGTAAAAATTGATTCAAGTCTCGGAATCCAGCTCGTGTTCTCAGTACGCTTCTCTGCTAGGGAAATGGCAAGTAGAGACAGTGTTTACCCCGGCATCCCCATCCCTGCCCCTAGAAACAAGACAGAAAGACAGAATATAGCATGCACACTATTGGTAACTGTTTTACCTAAAAATAACTTGGAATTCCTCCTTTTGGGTAAGGCTCCCGCAGATGCTGCTCTTACCTTCTGAAAAGAAAACAACAGATCATTACAACACAGCCCATAAAACAGTCTGCTAACCAACCGTGTGGCCCAGAGGTCCCCAGTTAGAGCCAAGAGGAAACTGGACCTGGATCCTTGCGGACGGGTGGAGGACCATTCTCTTGGCCCTGTGGATTATTTTCACTGAGTTCTACAGGAATCCCTCTTGGAAAAGGAAGTTCAAACCAGAGACGCAAATGAAGCTGGTTCTTGAACTCTGGTGGTCAGTGCTCCCTCTTGGGAGATCTGGGGTCTAAGCTAAGGACAGACGTGAGCTACCTGTCCCCTTGCCTACACAGGGATTCTCCGTCCTTGGCTCTGGGTATGCTCAACACTAACTGTTCAAAGACTTAGTACCTGTTGATATTCTCATCATCTGAAACTGAAAATAGACACATCTGAGGAGGCGCACCCGCGGGCTAGCTGCCCCCATGTCAAGCTTCACATGTCTGCCACCGTTGGGGGGAGTCTTCGGCAGCAGTGAGTGAGTTCCCATCAAATGGCTGGGCAGCCCCAGCAAAGATGATTGTAACAATTTCCTTTCACCATCTACTTTCATACCAGGCACTTTGGACTGTTAGAGAATACAGATCCACTCCATGCAGGGTCCACCCCATTCCTTTCTGCACAGTCACGTGATTCAAGCCATTGCTGTGCACTCAGTATTTCTTTTTCTTTTTTTCCTCCTTACTTAGGAGTCCTAAGTCTACTTCCCCACATTTTATTATTTGATACTGAAAGCCAACTCATCTTTGTAATTACCGTATTGTTTTAATAGCTTCTACTATGGGTTTACAGTTCCCCTCATAGCAATCCCAAAACACTCAGCTCAAAAACATGGCTCTCCAAACTCGAATGCCAACTGTATGTCTTCTGTTCTAGAATCCCTCTCCTGGTCAGGCCATGGTGGCACACGCCTTTAATCCCAACACCAGAGAGGCAGAGGCAGGTAGATCTCTGTGAGTTTGAGGCCAGCCTGGTCTACAGAACAAATTCCCGGACAGGCCCCAAAGCTACAGAGAAACCCTGTCTTGAGGGGGAAGGAGGAAAAAGGAAAAGAAAAAAATCCCTCTCTTCCATGATTCCAGAACCTCTGTCTCCTTCCCACCTTTCTCAAAATAAATAAATAAGCAAAGTGAGATAAATAAATAAGCAAAGTGAGATATAGCAAAAGCAAAACCTGGACCAAAGATTCGCTTCACATGGCCAGGGGTCACTTGTCTCTACAGACTGCTGTGGTGTCCTTCCATCTCTATTTCTGCAGGGTAGAAGAAATTGAAAAAGGTGGCCTCCATGGAGCCTGGCTGGCAAATGTGTCTCTCCCTGACAGTAGGTTCAAACCTTAGACTCAGATTAGAAGCACCCCCAGGAGGGGGAGGACAATGGGACTTCCTACTAAAGACCTTTGCTCCTGCTCCTAGGACAGGGTTCAAACACTAAAACTCCTCCCTTAGCAAACAGTGCCTGTTTGTCAGGTTGTTTGTGAGAGCAAACTGAGCAAACACAGGATTCTTCTCCGGAAGAGCTCACCAGCACAGAAGGTACCTGAGTGCAGGCAGAAGGCAGAATAGGTTCTGAGAAGTACTAAGTCTAAGAGACAATACAATTAGTGGAGATGCTTGGTTTATCTGGAGGTAGAGGTATGATCAGGACTGATCATGTAAGAACATTGGTCCTCAAATATAGAAAGTACTTAGTCATGGGAGGATCAGTAAATGAATGGATAAATTGGCAGATAGATAGACAGGTGAGTGGATACATGGGTAGGTGGGTGGATGGACAGTCAGAAGGATGGGTGTGAAGGATGTATGGATGGACAGATGGGTGGCTGCGGGGTGGGGGTTGAAGCAGACAGATGGGAGAGTGGATGAATGGACAGATGGACAGGAGGGTGGGTAGCTATTTGCGTGGCTAGATCAGTAAAGAGACAGAGCGACAGACAGATAAATGGACAGATGGGCAAATGGGCAGATGGATGGATCAATGGATAGAATAATGCATGGGTGGATGAATGGATATTTTTAACTGCAGAGACAACAACAGGAAAAAGAGAAGGAAGTAGAGAAGTAGAGAAACACACACATACGTGTAGAAAACACAAGAACCTGGGCACTAAGTCATGGTCCATTCCAGCAATAGCTATGTGGAGAATACAAATTTGGTGCAGAAAGAAAGGGCTGAAAAGGTTGTGGGGCCCAATCATGAGCACCTTGTAACGACACTGCAGGGTTTGGGACTTTGGGTTGAAGGCATGTCAGAAGGCACAGGTAACAGTACATACGTTTAGAAAGATCACAGGGGGTGTACAGTCCAGGAATGAGAGCCATACATTTCAAAGAAGGAAGATGAACCAGCAAAGCAAGCTACAGGACAAGCCTACCACAGAGGTACCCAGAGGAACACAGAGCACTAAGTCATTACAACCGGATGGTGGAGACAGAGCGGACTTCAGAGCTGTGTGGGAAGTTCAGGTAACAAGACCTTAAAACAAAATAAAAAAAAAATCTGGCTTTCTGGAATTCACAAGAAAGGAAAGTGCTAACAGAAAGGCTATCATGTGTAGTATGACATGCTGAACCTGGGAAGCCTATGAGATCCTGCAAAGAAAATCCGAGGTCAGACTTGGATGGTCCAATCTAGTTCCAGGAAGCTATTGACTTGTAAGCGTACTCTTAGAACAGCAAAGCAAGGACACGGAGAACCCGTGAAGACGAGCATCTTCTGAGAAAGAAGGTAGGCTGGCTGGCCAAATGGCAGCGGAGGAAAGACAGGTAATGGAAGGTCTTGAGCTTAAAAGACGGCCAGAAAAGAGAGAAGACAAGAAAGAATGATGTCAAAGAAAGAAGGGCAAGAAACAGTCTCAAATCTCCCTAGAGTATAAATAATCTCAGACCTAAAACATATCCCACAGGTACAGCCACCAAGCTCTCCCTGACAAGCCAGGCACTTCCAGTGACCACCAGTATCAATCAGCAGCTGTAGTCTTAGGCCCTCGGTCCTGGAGGGAGACATGGAGGTGACTGGGAAAAGAGAAAAGTTTTTGAAATGCTTCAGTTGGAGATCAGAACTAACTGCAGCAGGACAGAAAGGAGACAGACTGTTCTATCGAAAGACTGGCGGAAAGAAGCCAGAGAAAGGAAAGCTGAATTAATCTGAGTGAGTTCCCCAAAGTCAGGGAAATAGGGAGCACAAAAAATGGCACTGGGTTTTGATTCTACTGCATGGACTGGCTTTGTGGGAGCCTGGTTTGTTTGGATGCTCACCTTCCTAGACTTGGACAGAGGGGGGAGAACCTTGGACTTCCCATAGGGAAGGAAATCCTGACTGCTCTTAGGACTGGAGAGGGAGGGGGAGGGGAAGTGAGGGTGTGGGAGGGAAATGAAAGGTGGGGAGGAGGTGGAAATCTTTAATTAATTAATTAATTAAAAAAACAGGTGAATGTTGCTTTCTGTTGGGGTGAGGGGGAAAGGGATGAAAACCACAGGCAGCTTCCAGAAGGTGAGAAATAAGTCCCACGGGTGCGGTCACTCTGCAGAGATTCTGGAGAGTCCAGGTCTAAACACAATGACACATCACTCTGCTAAGACCCGACGAAGCAGCCAGTGCTCAGCGGCCACTCAGAGGAACGGAAGAGGACACAGCAAGTGAGGAGACCTAAGAAGAGTGTGAAGCCTGGACACTGCTACGTTTCAGACATTGTGTCTCCTACCATCCCAGACGCTCAGGAGTTATGATTGGTCCTTTGCATGGTACTGGGTGATGGTGAGAACTTTAAAAATGAGGCAAATTGGAACATCAGGGTCCATCCTCAGAAGGACTTAAGGAATCCCAACCTCTCTGGTGTCCTGTTTCACGTGACTTCCTCCCACACACACTCTGCCACCTGGGAGTCCTCCGTGGGCCTCTTATCAGGACCTGTATAATGCTTTTGGGTTTTCAGACCCCAAAATGGGGTAAACAAATCCCATTTCCTTATAAAGCTAGTCTGCCTCCTGATAGTAATACATAATGAACTAATTTCATCCCGAGCCTCACAGTGGTGGGAGAGCCAGCGTTTGTGCACGGAAGCTTCAATGCATCAACTGGATAACATCTGCAGCATTGTGAAAGACAAAGGTCAGCTCAGGAGACAGTTGTGGAGACAGTGCTGAGAGTCATGAGTCATAAGAGGCAAGCTGAGCAAGAGTCAGGCCTAGAGGCCTGGAGCCCAGAGAACAGCAGATCAAAACAGGAACGCACGAGCCAAAGGGCAAAACTGAGGAGAGGCCGTTACCAAAGAGTGGAATGCCTAACTTAAACGCTTAGATGCAGAATTACACAAATGAGGTCACCGACAGTCCGCAATGCCACCACCAGCTCTCTGACCCAGAGGAAGCAGACTCTCTGGGCCTCCATTTTAACTTTACCACTTTACACTAGGATGTGAAACAACCTAAACTTTATAGTATAAAGTTTATATTATCCCAGATCCCAACAGAAGGAACATGCAAATCACATCAGGACAAAACGAAATCATTTCAAAGCTTATCTTTGACGCTGTGACTTCTCAGCATATCAGGTAGGGTGATACGGGAAATTAAGTAAAACTCAAATCAGACACCAAGATAGTTTATAAACTATTAAAACTATTTAAGACGATATTTGAAAATCACTAATCTCAACAATCAAATAAATATGTAATAAAATAAAAGTGGTAACAAAATGTAAGGTTGAAAAACTAAAAAGATAAAAAAATTAAAGTTTAAAAAAAAGTTTTGGGCTGGAGAGATGGCTCAGAGGTTAAGAGCATTGCCTGCTCTTCCAAAGGTCCTGAGTTCAATTCCCAGCAACAACATGGGGGCTCACAAGCATCTGTAATGGGGTCTGGTGCCCTTTTCTGGCCTGTGGGCATACACACAGAAAGAATATTGTATATATAATAAATAAATAAATATTTTTTAAAAAGTTTTAACAAAGGGCCAGAGATGACTCTGTGGGTAGAAGCGCTTGGTGTACATGTCTAATGACCTGAGTTTGAGTCCAGAAACCCATGGTAGAGGAAGAAAACTAACTTTCAATGGTTGTTCTCTGATCCACACACGCGCGTGCGTGCACACACACACATATATGCACACACACACCTGTGGTCTACACGCACACATGCACACACATATACACCTATGGTCTCTAAACACACACACGCACACACACACACTTGTGGTTTACACACACACACACACATCTGTGGTCTACACACACACACACACACACACACACACATGCACACACACACCTGTAGTCTATACACACACACCTGTAGTCTACACACGCGCGCGCATAGACACACAGTGGCAGCCTGAATGAGAACGGCCACCACAGGCTGATATTTTTGAATGTCTGGCCCTATGGAACTGTTTTGGGAAAGATTAAGAGGTAGGTCACTGGGCACAGGGCAGCTTCTCACACTGCCTCCGCCTTGTGTGGATCAGATGTAAGCTCTTTCCATGGCAACAGAACAGCGACTACAGAAAAGTCACCAAGAAAACATTCAATGAGAATCATAGTTTTTCTAAATGAGTGATAAATATGCAGGAAAATACTCAATCACAGAATGAAATGCCAAATATTTTTATGTCACTTCACAACCATTAGACTGGCAAAGATTAGAAGTCTGGTCAAGGAATGGTAAGGCTGTGGACTGATAGACATTCATGGCACAAGCATTCTAGGGAGAATTAGCCTTCTCCTGCCAAAAATGAAGGTTAGCACCCACAGGCCAGTGGGACCACTAGGTAAGTTTCTTACAGAAATATTTGTACAAGGGTTTCTGTAGAAAATATGTTAAAATGTTCACTATGGTATTGTTTATTGTGGCAAGAAACAGAAGCAATCCAAATATTCAGCAATAGGAGAAGAATGGAGCTTACAGATTATTTGAGAAGAAAATACTAAACATCTGTTAATATGTAAGTTTTAACAAGTTAACATCTGTAAATAAATCCACAGGCATCTCAGCACGGCTAGAGTCCAGAGCAACTCTGAGTGGTGAGGTGCGATGCCGAATCATAGATGAGCGTGTGATGACATGCATCCATATCTTTAAAGCACATGGTCATACTACATACTATCCACACAGAAATGCAGTTAAGATATAACAATATGCATGAAAATGATGATGAGAATGAGTGACGGTCACTTTGCAGGAATGAGAGCTCCAGAGGGAATTGGGAATGTGGCTTCCATTGTAGCGTGTTTGCCTGGAATGCACAAAACACTGAGGTCAATTCCATACACCACATAAACAGGCCTTGGAGCACACAGCTATCATCCCAGACATAGGGTAGGTTTAACCAAAACTGAGGTTGTGTGAAAAAGCCTTATATGGAAACCCACTGGTTAGTAAGCTAACTTCAAAATACAACTAAAAAAGGGGTTCAAACAGAATTACTGTACATCAGAGGACAGAGCCACCCCTAGAAGACATGGGTTAGTAAATGCTGGGTCAAGAGCCCCCAGAGGCGTCCAAAACAGCACAGGCTATTGCCACGGCCCTTGGTCAGCACCATAGATACATGGTAAGGCCCTATTGCTGAATACACCACACAATCTTGCTGAAGGACATAGAGAAATCATACAAACCAAGAATTATCCTCCCCACTGAGTAGACTTCACAGTTCCTGGGCAAGCTTCGGAGAAATCAAAGAAACCATTGATCTTATTGGACCCTGCATGAGGGACTACTCGTGGCATGACAATTACAGGGGAACTAATTGCATTCTGGTTGGATTTGAGGTCTGCTCTACAGGAGAGAATTCATGTCTGATACTGCAACCCTACTCAAAAGCCCACAGCTATGGGAGGTCACAGGCCCTGTGATTATTTTGCTAAATGGTCATGTTGTCATTGTTTCTAATATTTATGTCTATACACAGACCGAGACTACTTTCAACCTTAGTCAGAGAAACTTCTTCCTGAGGTGGTCAACCACTCAATGCTGAGACCCATGACCAGCCAAAGTGCCAAGAATAAGAGACTGAGTGTTCCCCCTGAAGTGGGGCATCTTTATCCACCCATCACTACAAGGCCAAGGGAAGATGGTAGAAGAGGAGAAGACTGTCAGAACTGGAGAATGGGAAGCAGGGCTCTAACTGGACCGGGTATTGCCATCACTGGCTCACACGGCAGTGATGGTGTTCACAAGAGCGAGCCGGTCAAAGTCCCAGCAGAGGTGACGAATGTGCTCTCCAGGCCCCACCGCTTGCTGACGCGTGACCATCGGCTGACAGCTGCTGGAGAGGGAATGTTACTCTTTTCTAAACATGCGGCCACTGCTACATTTTCCATGCTCCAGCAGACAGCCTGACACCTGTGCACATATGGGTGAACTAATCAGACTCAGTGGGTTATCAAAAGAGACAGAACACAAATTATGGGAAGGGACATGTTGGAGACAACTTGGGGTGTATGTTGGAGGAAGAAATGGGGTGGCTATGATCATGTTTTACAGTATAACTATATAACATTCTCAAGAATAAAGAAAAATTATATTTTTTAAAGAGACAAAGGGATGTAGACTTTCAAGAAAGTTTTTCTTCGGGAAAACACTGGGATGCATTAGGTCTGTACTTGTTCATATTTTACACTTAAAATTACTTTTTCCAGCCAATCAACTACACAGCTTCTTAACTCCAACAAGTGGCCTAGAAGAAAAATAATACTGGCTAAGGTAAGGACTGGGGTGGGAGGGAACCTGAGTGTCTACAAACTGTCGCGGTTTCCTGTCATCAAAGAGAGTGCAGGGTTCTGAGGGTATGGTAATCCCTGTGTGGGGCATGCAGGGACTCTCCAAACACCCGTCTCACCTCTCGCATGTGCCTTTTCAGGTGCATGTATACGCTCTGTCCAGTTTTTCGAAAATGCCTTTCAACGTGTTCCCTTCCAAAGGCCAAAAACGTATTCATGCATACATAGAGTCCACCTTCAGAGTT